GAAGAAAGGTGCAAGAGTGACACAGTACCTCACCATTTAAAGGCAAGCCTTGACCGCAACATTTTCCACACTTAGTATGCTGGGTTCCAGGGGAAGCCAGATTTCAGGGAGTTAAAGAAGGAGTAGGTGAAGAATCAAAGCGGCCCGTCCTTCATATGATTACTCTCGATTCCTCCACTAGAAGTTTATTTATTTATTTATTTATTTATTTTTTAGACAGGGTCTTGCTCTGCTGCCCAGGGCCAGAGTACAGTGGTGTGATGATACCCCATCGCAGCCTTGAACTGCTGGCCTCAAGCAATCCTCCCACCTCAGCCTCCTGAGTAGCTGAGATGACAGGTGCACACCACCACAACTGTCTAATTTTTAAATTTTTTGTATGTAGAGTGTCTTGCCATGCTGCCCAGGCTGGTCTCGAACTCCTGGCCTCAAGCAGTCCTCCCAACTGGGCCTCCCAAAGTACTGGGATTATAGGTGTAAACCACCGTGCCTAGCCTCTTTTTTAAAAATTATTTTTTTTGGCCAGGTGCAGTGGCTCATGCCTGTAATCCCTTTGGGGATTACACTCTGGGAGGCCGAGACAGGAGGATCACTTGAGCTTAGGAGTTGGAGACCAGCCTGGCCAACATGATGAAACCCAGTCTCTACTAAAACACAACAATTAGCCCGGCATGGTGGGTACCTGTAAGTCCAGCTACTGGGGAGGCTGAGGCAGGAGAATCACTTGAACCTGAGAGTCAGAGGTTGCAGTGAGCCGAGATCACACCACTGCACTCCAGTGTGGGTGACAGAACAAGACACTGTCTCAGAAACATTTTAATTTTTTTTAGAGACAGAGTGTCCCTCTGTCACCCAGGCTGCAGCACGGATCACAGCTCACTGCAGCCTTGAACTCCTACGTCAACTGATCCTGCTGCTTCTGCCTCCCGAGTGCTGGGACTCCAGGTGTGAGCCACCGTGCCGCGCTAGAAATTCCTTGATGGTGTATGGGGCCACATCTGGAATGACTGTGCCTGACACCAACAGATGACCTGGAACTGAGCTCACGGGTCCGTTACCAACCACAACTCTAAGTGCCACCAGGGGGCACCAGAGCCCAGGGCTCCACGAGGCTCTGTTTCGGAAAAGCCCATGATGACCTCAGCGTTTGTCATCTCTTGGCTCGTCTGGCTCTTGCTGTAGTTGGGCAGAGGGGGCAGGTGTGTGGGAACGGCTGGCAGTGCCTCCTCCCAGTGGCCTAGTAAGGCTTTGAAAACTGAATTGCTCGGGGACACGTGAGCACAGCCCCCTTGGCCGCTCCAGGGACCCCCGACTTGGGCAATAGGGTGAAGGCACAGTCTGTTCTCGGACCCGGGAGGATGTGGCCGGGGTTAGCAGATACGCACCACGCCTGAGAATCCTTCAGAAATCCCTCTCTTCACCTCCTCCAGGAGGCAAGTGATCCCCTCCTGACTCAGAAATGGTGGTCCTTTGTCAAGTCCGACTGTCCTGATCCGAGTCCTCCCTTCCCTGGGCCTTAGCCTGGCCTCCTTCGAGGCAGCGAGGGTGTGCCTGGGAACAGACTGGCTCCTCCTCCCTGCCAGCGGTTGCCTTCAGCCAAGCACCTCCCACATCGGGTAGCAGGTTGGAATCTCTTAGGGAGCCTTTAAAAACTAAGATGCTGGCCAGGTGCGGTGGCTCACGCCTGTACTCCCAGCATTTTGGGAGGCCAGGGTGGGTGGGTCATCTGAGGTCAGGAGTTCGAGACCAGCCTGGCCAACATGGTGAAACTCTGTCGCTACTCAAAATACAAAAATTAGCCGGGTGTGATGTGATGGCGGGCGCCTATAATCTCAACTACTCGGGAGACTGAGACAGGAGAACTGCTTGAACCCGGGAGACAGAGGTTGCAGTGAGCCAAGATCACACCACTGTACTCCAGCCTGGGTGACAGAGTGAGACTCTGTCTCAAAAACAAACAAACAAACAAAAGAACTAAGATGCTAAGGCTAGGCGGGGTGGCTCATGCCTGTAATCCCAGCACTTTGAGAAGGCTGAGGCAGGAGAACAGCTTGAGCCCAAGAGTTTGAGACCAGCCCAGGCAACATCTTGAGATCCTGTCTCTACAAAAAAAACAAAAACAAAACAATAAAATGAAGATGCCAACCACCATCCAAGCGGTCCTAGGGTGGTGCCTGGGCACCAGCATTTTGTTTTGTTTTGTTTTGCTTTGAGACAGTCTCATTCTGTTGCCTAGGCTTGAGTGCAATGGTGTGATCTTGGCTCACTGCAAGCTCTGCCTCCCAGGTTCAAGTGATTCTCTTGCCTCAGCCTCCCGAGCAGCTGGGACTACAGGCACCCGCCACCATGCCCAGTTAATTTTTGTATTTTTAGTAGAGACAGGCTTTCACTGTGTTGGCCAGGCTGGTCTCGAACTCCTGACCTCATGATCTGCCCGCCTCAGCCTCCTGAAGTGCTGGGATCACAGGCATGGGCCACTGCACCTGGCTTGGCATTGGCATTTTTGAAGCTTTCTGTGTGATTCTTGTGTGCAGCTGTATTGAAACTGTCTGCGTCTAAGGCCTTGATAGAGTGTGGTCCATGGGAAGCGTGACGGAAATGCTGGATCTCAGCACCCTCCTCCCAGTTTGCTGAATCAGAATTTACGGTTCACCAAGATGCTCAGGTGATCAGCCGCACACAGTTCCAGAAGCCCTGAGCTAGTTGGTATATCGTTCTTCACCCACGCTCATCTCCCTGGCCTGAATCACAGCGTGTCTGACTTGTTCCAGTTGCAGCTTGGCTCTCAATGTTTTGACTGTGACCTATAGAAAGAAATGGACTTTACAACGATGAAACAAGAACACCACAGAAACAATGCCTTCACTACCTGGGGTGCACTCTGCACTCTCATTCATTCAGCAGGTAGTTTTGGCACCTGCTTTGTGCCAGGCCTCGTTCTAGCTGTCTGTGTCTAGAAGAAAGCCGCTGTTGTTGGGAGGTTTCTATTCTAGGAGGAGGGCAAGGGGGTCAGAAAGTTAAAAGTAAACCATGTATATAAAGGGCATGCTAAAAGTTATTTATTAAAATCTCTTTAAAAATTACATTTTGAGGGTGGGGTTCTGGGGTGCTGGTTATGTTCTGTTTCTTGATCTGGGTGCTGGGTGTATTACCTGCAAGAATGCAAGTGTTCTGCACTTCTCTGGAGGTATGTTGTATGTCAATAAAAAGTTCAAAAATTACATTCTGATATATTTTTTTTCCTTTTTCTTTTGAGAGACAGAGTCTTGCTCTGTCACCCAGTCTAGAGTGCAATGGCATGATCCCAGCTCACTGCAACCTCCGCCTTCCAGGTTCAGGTGATTGTCCTGTCTCAGCCTCCCAAGTAGCTGCGATTAGAGGCATGCATCACCACGCCCAGCTAATTTTGTATTTTTAGTAGAGACGGGGTTTCACCATGTTGGTCAGACTGGTCTTGAACTTCTGACCTCAGGTGATCCGCCGGCCTCGGCCTCCCAAAGTGCTGGGATAACAGGTGTGAGCCACCACATCCGGCCAAACATTCTCATATTTTTAATTCTATTATTATCCTCTTTCATGAAAAAAAAAAAGTCATTCAAAATCCACCATATTGTTTACCTCCCACTAAAAGTTTGCAACCGTAGTTTTTAAAACTGCTTTATTTAAAAACAAGCTGTGTGCAGTGGCTTATGCCTGTAATCCTAGCGCTTTGGGAGGCTGAGATGAGTGGATTGCTTGAGGCCAGGAGTTCAAAACCAGCCTGGCCAACATGACGAAATCCCATTTCTACTAAAAATACAAAAAATTAGCTGGGCATGGTGGCGGGCGCCTGTAATCCCAGCTACTCGGGAGGCTGAGGCAGGAGAATCGCTTGAACCCGGGAGGCAGAGGTTGCAGTGAGCCGACATTACACCACTGCACTCCAGCCTGGGCAACAAGCCTGAAACTCCATCTCAAAAAAAAAAAATAAAAACAAACAAACTGGAAGCCCAACCCCTCAGCAGCAGCCACCCACTCTTGGCTTGGCAGCTGCCCGCTCCCCAGCAATGGCTTTCCTTGCCCTCTTGCTTACCCCGCGGTGCAAACCGCCCATGGTGGAGATTCTTAAGGGCACCACCCAAAGCCTCCCTCTGGCAGCCTGGCCCACCTCCGCTCCCAGCTAGACCTGACAAGCCCTTCTCCTTGCCGAGTCATTCTGCTGTGGGCAGCTCTCCTGCAGGCCCAGATGTAGGAGGAGACTGGCTCAGGCACGTTAATTAGAGGGTTGGGGTTATCCCTGTGGCCAGCTCCCAAATCTCCTGAGACTTATGTTTTTAGTCTGGGGCTCATTCCTCATGTCAGCTCCCTAGTGCCAGAGCAGTCTCCCTCGGCGTCTCTCTGGCCACCACGGCCAGCGTCACGGACACATCCCAGCATAACCCCAGCGCTCAGCCCCATGGCGGGACCGTCCAGGAGTTGGTGAGGAACAGGGTGGGAGGGAGGAAGGGAGCAGGAGACCTCACGCTTTCCTCTGAACCTAAAGCTCCAGATAACCCTACACTAGAGGTCATAGGGGGCGTGACTCTGGCTTCTTGAGGGAAACTGGAGAGATGAGGGGCTGGGGAAATGGGGGGCTGGGCTGCCCTAGGAGCAGGACCAACCACAGTGGAGGCGTTTGACCCCTAGCTTTGTTTGATTTGGAGCTTGATTTACTGGAGGGGAAGTTTGCTCTAAATCAGTTGTTTGCATCTATTGACCAATAAAATCTAGTTAGTCCTGATGCTTCCTGAAGCAGGGCTCCTGGATTTGGCGTTGCTATTTTGTGCCTCAGATTTTTTTTTTTTTTTTTTTTTTTGAGACAAGGTCTGGCTCTATTGCCCAGGCAGGAGTGCAGTGGTGTGATCTTTATTCACTGCAACCTTCATCTCCCACGTTCAAGCGATCCTCCCTCCTCAGCCTCCCCAGTAGCTGGGATTACAGGTGCGTGCCACCATGCTCTGCTAATTTTTGTATTTTTTTGTAGAGACAGGGTTTTGCCATGTTGCCCAGGCTGGTCTTGAACTCATGAGCTCAAATGATTTGCCCTCCTCAGCCTCCAAAGTGCTGGGATTACAGGCGTGAGCCACCACACTTGGCCTGTGACTTGGACTTTAGAGTCGGAAAACTGGATTTGAATCCTGGCTGCAACACTACCAGCTGTATGGTGCTGAACAAGTCACTTGGCCATGTAGAACCTCAGTTCTACCACGTGTAAAAAGGGGACATTATGTTTCTCCTTGGATTGTTGTGGGGTTGGATGAGAAGAAGTGCAGAGTGCAGGGCCTTGCACAGTTGGGCTCCGTGAGCCTTAGCAATGGCCATGACTGAGGCAGTGTGAGGGAGACTGGGAAAAAACCTCCTCAGGTTCCTTCTCCCAAATCTGTTGTCTGCCGCACTTTCTTTCCTGAAGCCAGGCAACAGGGGGGGTGGTCCTGGCCCAGCCTCACAGCTCCCTGGGGCAGGGCTGCTATTACTTACAGAGTCAGATAATTCAGTAGAAAGTTGCCCTGCCCACCTCGCAGGCAAGGCACCGCCACCCAAATCCACCCAGATTGGGTCTCGCGTTGGTTTCCGGAAGCCACCTCTTTCTCATTGCCCTACTGCCCTCTGGCCATGGCCCTGGGGCCCACTGCTGGACAGTGTGAGTGCAGAAAGAGCCAGCCCTACACCGTTCCCAACGTCTGAGCTTGCCATCTACAGCGAATTGTTTTGTTATTACACCCTTCTTCTAGATGAGGGACAGTAACAAGGGCTGAGTGGCCCTGAGCCCTGGGGTTCCAAGCGCCCGCTGCCCAGGGCTGCCTCCGTTTGGGCTGGGACCCGGGCCTGCAGGCTGCCCCGCCGCTGGGAATCAGAGCTCTGGGTTTTCTCCTTCTGGGGTGGGGGGTGGGGTGGGGCAGGGAGGACACCGCTCATGTGCAGGAATGATGAAGGTCCCCTTGCCTGGGGCTATTTCTGCCCAAGTCCTCATCAGGAATTGTCAGGCCTGAGACAAACCCTCCCTCCTTCAGGAGTCCTCCGTTGGCCCCGGGGAAAGAGAGGTGATGGTCCGGTTTCTGGGCCTTTCGGTTGCTACGGTGATATTAGGGCTAGAATCCCAGCGTCACTGGAGTGACCCCAGAAACCTTCCAGTGCAACCTCCTCACTTCAGAGCTGAAACCACCGAGACCGGGTGGAAGTGACTTTCACACTCGCACAGTGCAACGGCAGCTACTCGGAATGAGGGACGCTCCGGCGCTCCTCCGCTGCGCCCCTCGACTCGGCGGGACTTCCTCACCCCAGTTCCCTCCGCACCGCAGGAAGGCGCAGACCGGGCCGGGGTGCGGGGAAAGCGGGGTGGGGCCCGCAGGCTGGGGGCGGAGCCGGGGGCGGAGCGACGAGGCCGGGCCCTTTAAGGGGCGGGCCGACCCCCAACCCCACCCCGGGGCGGCGCAGGCGCAGGCGGGCTCGGGGCGCGCGGCAGGAGGGACGGCGGGCGGGCGCTCACCTGCGGGGGCCGGCGCGGGGCGGGCGCCCGGCAGGCCGACGTTGACGCCCGGAGGCGAGGGCGGGGAGGCGGGCGCGGGACTCGGGGGCGGCCCGGGGCGGGCGGGGAGGCCGGGGCGGGCGGGCGGCGGTGTGAGCGGGCGCCGAGGGCAGCACCATCTGGAGGGGCGGGAGCGCGCGGCCTCTGGGGGGCAAGCGAGTGCGCTGGGCCGAGCCGGTCGAGGGCCCCCGGCGGGGCGAGCAGGAGGAGCGCGGCGGGCTGAGCCCCGCGCTGCCGGAGCAGCAGCCGCAGCGCGTCGGGGTTCTCAGCTGGGGCCCGCAGCAGCTCCGCGGGCTGAAGCTCGGCGTGGAGGAGCGGGGCGGGGTGGGCCCGGCCGTGCAGGAGGAGGGCGGGGTGGGCCCGGGGCTGCAGGAGCGCGGCGGCCGCGGCCACGAGCCCAGCCGGGGGGTGGTGTGGGGGCCGCCGGACGGCGCGGACTGGGGGCGCCCTACGCGGTGGACGGGCTCGGCGGGCTGGCCTGTGGCGCAGGAGGAGGGGCTGGGGCCCCGCGGGCAGCACCAGGAGAAGGGCGGAGGCAGCCCCGCAGTGCAGGAGCGCGGCGAGGCCCGGGCCGGAGTGCAGGAGCGCGGAGAGGGGAGCCCGCGGAGGCTGCTGCAGCAGCCCGAGCCGGCGCCCGAGGCCGGGGAAGGCCCCCGCGAGCGCGGGGAGGGGCCGGAAAGTTCCGGCGAACTGGGGGAGCGGCAGTGGGAGAGCGTGGGGAGGGAGGCGGTGGTCCTGGGGGCGGCCCCGGAGCGCCGAAGCCGCCCGGAGCTGGTGGGGAGGGCCCGGCCGGTGGGGCCCCGGGGGCCTGCGGGGGAGGGGCGCCTGGGGGTGCAGGAGGCGAATTGGCTGCCCGGAGTGCAGGAGGGGCAGGTGGTGCGGGCTGTGCAGGAAACCTACCTGAACGGAAAGGAGCCCCAGGAGGGGGAGGGACCCGGCGAGGGGCTCAGGACCCGGAGGCGCCGGCGGAGGAGGAGGTGGTGACTGGCAGGCCGCCGCCCGGGCCCCACGGTGCCTCCGGAGCTGAAGGGAACGCAGGATGTAGGGGCGTGGGGAGTCGGGCACAGAAGAGTGCGGGGAACCGGGGAGCTCTGCGAGCCACTGCCTGAGGGTAGGCCCGGCCCGCGGGAACGTCTTCTGCTCGCTCAGCCTGGGCATCGCTGAAGCTGTGTCTGCGGGGAGGCAGCGGAAGGCGGCAGGTAAGGAAGCCCAGTTCTCTTAGCTGGAGTTGGTGTGCTTGGAAGCGAGAAGCTGCAGGTCACTGGCGAGAGGGTGGTCTCCACGCTGCCCTCGTTCTCTCGGCCTTTCATCCCTGGGGGGAGGAAGCAGTGCACTTTTCAGCTGCGAGGCAGGACCTCTCCCCCGCAGTACTGTGTATGGTAGTTGGAGTGATGGGGCATCTTCTTAGAGTCTAGGCAGCTCGCGGGACTTCTGGGTGGCTGCCAGGTCTGTGCAGAGGGAAGAAAGGGGGAGTCCCAGGGAGGAGCTACAGGACGGTCACCCCTCCACCTGCCCCTCGATGGCAGTAGGGTGCCTCCATGGTATTTGCTCTGCATGGTGCAGTCAGCACAGGTTGCCTCAAGTCCTCAAAACACGTTCCACAGAAGGGAAGAGGGCAGCGTGGGATTAACAGAACCTTATCTTGTAACCCTGTTGGTCACGTGAGCTGAGATGTGAGTGTGACAGCTAGTGGCTTGGGCACGGCACGAGCCTGACCCGCTCCTGCCACGCCGTCCTGTCACAGCTGATTTACCCTGAGGGCCCAGAGCCAAGGATGATTAGTGGGCAGAAGGTGGGAGAGCAACTGGTGAGTCTCTGGGTGGGGCTTCACGAGCCCAGCGTGAGAGGGACGGGAGAGGAGGGTGCATCTGCACCAGAGGACTCTGGGCTGCCTCTGTGGCCCCACCGTGGGGAGGTTTGCAGATGGGCCGCTGTGGTATAGTGGGCTCTGCACCTGTCAGGGCAGGAGCTCCCAGCCCAGTCTAGAGGTAGGGCTTGTAGGGGCCAAGGGTGGGGGCTGTATTTGGCTTCTTGTTGACTGCCTCATGGCCTGAGTGCCAGACCTACTCATTCCGCCTGGTGCTCCCAGGACGGCCTGGAGGGCTGCTTGTGGGCCTTACTCTCCTAGAGCTGTTCCCTCTTACCTGGCACTGTCGGGTTCTTGCTTCCCCTGCCCCTGGGTGGGGATGGGTACAGGGCTGCTGCCTGCCCAGGGCCTTAGCTAGGACCCCTCTCTGCCCCAGCCCGAGGTGTGGCTCTGAGTCAGATGGTCCCAGGCCCCTGTCCGGAACCAGACTGGCTGCTCTCCTATGGGGGCAGAGGGAGTGGTGCTGGAGGTAGCTGCTGGAGGAGCCGGTTAGCCTACTCCTCATACTCAGACTCGCCTGTCAGCTTCATCCCATGCCTGTCGCGCTGCCGCCCGAACACTCATGCACCGGAAGTTCAGCTGCTGTGCCCACGGTGCCCGACGCTTCTGGAATGGCCAGAGTGGCTCTCAGTGTCTGGCTTCAGTGGAGAGAACTGTCTGTTTTAAACACGTGCACACAACACACATCTTCACCTACTTATTTCAGGTCGACGTTTTTGAACTTGTGGCAGATGAATGGGAGAAAGGCCTTGGCATCACACAGATTGCTTTTGATCTGGTTATATCGCTTACAAGCTGTGGAACTTCCTTGGGCAACATAGTGTCTTCAGGTTTCAGTTTCCTGGTGTGTGCGGTGGGCCAGGGCTTCCCCTGCAGTGTCCCGAGTGAAGAAACCTCAGGCCCTTTGGAGCCTGGTGCCGACCTCCCAGGAGCCCAGCAGACGTTGGGGAAGAAGGGTCAGACTCTTCCCTCTGGCCCCTGAGCCCGAGATTAGCCCCCACCTTGTGCTTTGTCTAGAAGATGCAGTGTTTCTTTTTGTTTGTTTTAAGTAACAGCTTTATTGAGATATAGTGACATATGGTAAACTGAGCATATTTAAAACATACAATTTAATAAGTTGTAGCCTATGTATACACCCGTGAAACCACCCCCACCGTCAAGATAGTGAACATCCCCCTTATTCCCCAGTCCCCAAAAGTTTGCTTGTGGAATCCCTCCATCCCCCCTCCGCTGGCGTCTCCTCCCCAGGTAACAGGCTGCTCTACTTTCTGTCACTGTATCTGAGTTTGCAGCATTTACTGTAAACGGAATTCCGTCTTTCATTCAACAGAAGTGTTTTGGAATTGGTTCACATGGTTGCACATATCAACAGTTCATTGCACACGTGTGCCAGTCTGTTTACCCATTGACCTGTTGATGGGTTTTCAGAGAAAGCTGCTCTGAACTCTTCTGTTAGTCTTTGTATGGATGTATGCTTTTATTTATCTTAGGTAAATCCCTAGGACTGGAATGGCTGGGTCATGTGGTAGGTATACATTTAACCTTTAAGAAACTGCCAGACTGTTTTCCAAAGTGGTTGTACGTTTTATATACTCACCCACTGTGTCTGAGGGTTCTGGTTTGCCCACGTCTTTGATATGCCCACACCGTCATATGGTCAGTGTCTAATTTCAGACATTCTCATGTCTGTGGTGGTATCTCATTATGATTTTCATTTGTGTTTCCTAATGACTCATGTTGCTGAGCATCTTCTGATGTGCTCATTTGCCATATATATGTCTTTGGTGATGTGTCTGTTCAGATTGTTTGCCTGCTTTTAATTGTGTGGGTTTTTTTCATGTTGAGTTCTGAAGAGTTCTTGATATAGTCTGGATATAAGCCTTTTATCAGGTATGTGATTTGCAAATCTTTTCTTCCAGCTTGTGGCTTGTATTTTGATTCTCTTAACAATGTCTTCTAAAAAAATTATCATGATCAGTGATGCAAAGTGGTGTGTTCTGAAAGAGAAGTTTTAAATTTTGATTAATTTACTAATTTGTTACTTTGTGGATTGCATTTTTGGTGTCATGTCCAAGAAATCTTTGTCTGACCCAGAGTCACAACAGTTTTCCCCTGTTTTCTTATAGACATTTTATAGTTTTGGGTTTTACAGTGAGATCTAGGATTCATTTGGGGCTAATTTTTGTATGTGGTACAAGGTGTGAATTAATGTCCAGTTTTTTGCATGTAGAGATCTAACTGATCTAGTAGCACCATTTGTTAAGAAGATGTGTCTCTTCACTGAATTGCCTTTGAATCTTTGTCAAAAATCAATTGTTGGCCGGGCACGGTGGCTCAGGCCTGTAATCCCAGTGCTTTGGGAGGCCGAGGCGGGCGGATCACGAGGTCAGGAGTTCAAGGCCAATCTGGTGAACATAGTGGAACCCCATCTCTACTAAAAAATACAAAAAATTAGCCTGGCGTGGTGGCGGGCACCTGTAATCCCAGCTCTTTGGGAGGCTGAGGCGGGAGAATTGCTTGAACCTGGGAGGCGGAAGTTACAGTGAGCTGAGATTGCGCCACTGCACTCCAGTCTGGGCAACAGTGTGAGACTCCGTCTCAAAAAGAAAAATAAAAAAATCAGCCGGGCGCGGTGGCTCACGCCTGTAATCCCAGCACTTTGGGAGGCCGAGATGGGCGGATCAGGAGGTCAGGAGATCGAGACCATCCTGACTAACACGGTGAAACCCCGTCTCTACTAAAAATACAAAAATTAGCCGGGCGCGGTGGCGGGCGACTGTAGTCCCAGCCACACGGGAGGCTGAGGCAGGAGAATGGCGTGAACCTGGGAGGCGGAGCTTGCAGTGAGTGGAGATTGCGCCACCGCACTCCAGCCTGGGCGACAGAGCGAGACTCCGTCTTAAAAAAAAAAAAAAAAAAATCAATTGTTTATGTGTGTCTAATTCTGGATTCTGTTTTGTTCCATTGATCAATTGTCTGTCTTTATCCCAGTATTGCACTATCTTGATTACTGTGGGTTTATAAACAATAGTAAGTCTTGAAATCAGGCTAAGATCTCAAACTTGGTTTTGTCTTTTCAGAATTGCTTTAGCTATTCTGGGTTCTTTGTACTTCCATATACATTTTAGAATTAGTTTGTCAATTTCTACAAAACAGCCTGCTGGAATTTTGATTGGGATTATGATCAGTTTGGGAAGAACTGATAGGTTAGCAGTATGGAGCCTTCTGACCGGTGAACAGTGTATATCTCTGTATTTATCTAGGTTTTCTCAGCAGTGCTTTGTAGTTTTTGGTATATCAGTCTTTTCCATCTTTTATTGAACATATCCTTAAATAGTACCTATTTTTATGTTATTGCCAATGATACTGGTTTTTCTTGGTAGTATTTTTTTTTATTTTTAAAAGCTTTTAGTTTTGGTAAAATATACATAATATACTACCATTTTAACCATCTGAAATGGTGGTAAATACATCATACTGTTGCACAGCCATCCCCAGCCTCCATCTCTAGGACTTTTTTCATCTTGTGAAACTGAAACTGTACCTATTAAATGGTAACTTCCCATTCCCTTTTCTCTCAGCCCCTGAGAACCAACGTTCTGCCTTCTGACTCTTAAGAATTTGGCTCCTCTAGGTGCCTCATAGAAGGATAATTTTACAGTGTTTGTTCTTTTGTGACTGGCTTATTTCACTTCGGCGTAGCCTATTCAAGGTTCATTTATGTGGCGGCATATGTCAGAATTTTATTCTTTTTAAAGAGTAAATCATATTCTGTTGTATGAATATACCCCTTTTTGTTTATCCATTCACTTGGATTGCTTTCACCTTTTTTTTTTTTTTTTTCTACAACAGGGTCTCACTCTGTCTCCCAGGCCCGAGAGCAGTAGTGTGATCATGGCTAACTGCAGACTCAGCTTCCTGGGCTCAGGTGATCCTCCCACCTCAGCCTCCTGGGTAGCTGGGACTACGGTGTGTACCACCATGCCTGGCTATTTTTTTTTTTTTTTTGGGGGGGAATTTTCTGTAGAGATGGGATTTTGCCATGTTGCCCAGGCTGGTTGCCAACTCCTGGCCCAAGCGGCTTTCACCTTTTGGCTCTTGTCAGTAATGCTATTATAAGATGGTACTGTTGTTTAAACTTCACTTTCCAGTTGTTTGTTGCTAGTATATGTAAATACCATTGATTTTTGTATTTTGAGCTTGAATCCTGCTGTCTTGCTAAATTGACTTGTTAGTTCTAGTAAGCTTTTTGTAACTTCCGTTGGAGTTTCTACATAGAGCACCATGTCATCTGCTAATGAACAGTTTTACTTCTTCCTTTCTGATCTTTATGCCTGTTATTTCTTTTTCTTGCCTGATTACACTGGCTGGATCCTCTGGTGTAATGTTGTTGTTGTTTTGAGATGGAGTTTTGTGCTTGTTGCCCAGGCTGGAGTGCAGTGGCACGATCTTAGCTCACTGCAACCTACGCCTCCAGGGTTCAAGCGATTCTCCTGCCTCAGACTCCTGAGTAGCTGGGATTACAGGCACCCGCCATCACACCCGGCTAATTTTTGTATCTTTGGTAGAGATGGGGTTTCACCATGTTGGCCAGGCTGGTCTCGAACGCCTGACCTCAGGTGACCTGCCCGCCTCCGCCTCCCAAAATGCTGGGATTGTGGGGGTGGGCCACCAAGCCCAGCCTCATCTAACATGATGTCGAATAGGAGAGTATATACCTTGTTTCTGATCTTCCAGGGAATGCATTTAGTCTCTCGCCATTCAGAGTGGTGCTGGCTGGCCAGGCGCGGTGGCTCACGCCTGTAATCCCAATACTTTCAGAGGCTGAGGTGTGCAGATCACGAGGTCAAGAGATCGAGACCATCCTGGCTAACACGATGAAACCCCGTTTCCACTAAAAATACAAAAAATTAGCCGGGCGTGGTCGT